ATCCCGATTACGAACATGTGCTCTTATATTTTTAAGGCTTTTTTTATTATGCTTACAGACGTATGCGATGGTAGAGCAAATCATCAAGTGCTAGTATTCTGCATAATGCCTATCTGACATTGCTGAGGAAAATCATGTTATCGCTAACATCAGTATCACCTCGATAACAATTCCTTCCCCACTTCTGACCACTCGATACGACCTTTCAGGTTTGACATGCCAGCTCCACGCTTGACCCTGATTTAATCGAGTGCTAGAAAAGTACATAACAGCTTTGCAAGGAAATTGCTTATAAGGACAAGTGCTTTCTGTATAGACGACTACCCAATAATTAAGAAACCATGAACTCGATTAGATAGTTTAGCCACGAGAACGAGGAAGTTCGACTTTAACACAGTTCATAAGATAATATCACAGGGATTATTAATTTGATCCATTCCACTTTTTTGAAGCCTGATGTTCTAATCAAGGGAGATAGTGATACTTATTGTTAGAGCAAGAAAGTATAAGGCAGTGAAATTCTTTGTAAACAGAACCAGCGGTAATGTGGATAAACAGGTTTGTTTTTGCATTAAAATGTTTCTTCTCTTGTTGTCAGTTGTTATTGTAACTATCAAGTTTTTCTTTGTTCAGAAGCATATGCCTGTGGTGTTGTTGTTTACTAACAGGTTTTTTTTTGTTCAGTGCATATGCCTATGAATTATTATAGTATATTGCTTTCTATCTAATGAATGAATGAGTAAAATCACATTGTAGGTCTTTGATATTTGTCCTCTCAGCACAACATATAATAGCTGTGAATATCAGTCGCATTTGGTTTACTACAGGGTGGTCCACATGAAATGTGACGGACAGAATTCCTCGTAACTTTGCCTAAACTCAATAAAATTGAACGATTTTGTTTTCATACGATAGGCAAAAAGAATCTGTATAGGTACTCACAGATTACTTCCAAGAGGTCCATCTCCGCCTGGTGACAGAATTTATTCTGCTCGCAGAAATTTTCAAAATGCGCGCAATGGTTTTTGGAGGATATTTCGTCCCAGGCTCTCACTAGGTCTCCTTTAGCAAATCTAATGGCCTGACTTTGGAAAAGCGGACTTTTTGCTTACAGATAGAACAGGGGGAGAATTTGTCGGTTCAAGAATATTTGATTCGGAAGGCCAATTGTTTATTCATATGTGGCAAATATGAAGTTCGATGGACTGCGAAAAAACCATTTTTTGGTCTATTTCATTCCACTTTCGAAAATATTCGTCTTCTCCATATTCTTTTGTCCCGTTGTAGTTGTTCCCGACTTCGGTTCTTAGTAAAACATGGTCAAGCTCGAAGGTTTTTCAAAGGCAGTCGCCATTACAGCGAAAATCGCAATTTTCCGAGATTCTGGAAAAAGCATCGAAAGCAAACTTTGAAGGGCTGTGGCACCTTATTGGATCAAGAGAAATACTATGGACGCTTTTGGGAATTTTTGGTTTGACTAGACACCAATCCACAGCGAAAACAAGAAATTGCAGTTGTGTAAAATCCATCGTTCGAACAGTGGAAAAATGGCATTTGGCCCTCTAGCTCACTCATCCTTGAACCTACAAACCCTCTTTTTTGTCTGTCTAAAAGGAAAAAGTCTGCCTTTTGAAACCCATGTCATTTGATTTGCCGACGAAAATCCTTGTGAGAGTTTGGGAGCGAAACCATCGCCAGAGAAATCATCGTGCGCAAATCGAAGAAATTTCGGAAGAGGTCTGAAGGAGAAAAAATGATTTTAAAACAACAAGGGACAGGTATCTCAAAAGTTAGCTAGAAGTTCTTATACAGAATCTTCTTCTTTATCAGATGAGGAAAGAAACTTCTAATTTAATTTGGTCCTTGCAAAGTAATAACATTTTTTGTGTCACACTTCATGTGGACCACCCTGCAAGCTTTGTCCTCCATGTACTATCCACTCAATTTCTCTAGTTTTGAAATCTGCTCAAAAGATTGAAGATTGCTTGCCTCAGCCCTACCGTCATCCTTTATCAGTTCGAATGAAGTGAAAAGATCTAGAGTAATAAATCTAATGTGACATGGCTCCGCTTCTTTTTGTCTCTCCAAATTTTTCGGTTTTCGAAACTGGCTTTGCTATGGGGTTTACCACTGATGTATTCAATGTTCACTATATACCAATTCTGCTAATCCGATTTTCCTTTAGTTAGTCATGAATTCAGGAGAATAGAAGGTTTGACAAGTTCTGGTATACTCCATTAAACCCTATTTAGACTAAGCAAAGATTTCGCGATTTCAATACTGATCGTGTTCTTTCATCGCATTCTTTTTATAGAAACTAGCAAACAATTTATCGTCATCTGACCCGTTGCAATAAATCTGGTCGAGAGTAAGACGGCAGGAGGCGGTAATCAACAACTTTTTCCGTTCCACCTATAAGCCTTTAATTACTCTGACTGATTACACAACAACATAGTAAAGAATCAACGCTTTAATAGGGGAGAATAAGGACGCTTTGCGCCATTCCCATGCTGATGCAATCGCGTTATGTTGGAACCGGTCGTATTTTTCTATTTTGCAAAGCAGCTCTGATATTGTACTTTCTTGCACGGCAAGCAGGGAGCCCTACCGGATGGCATTTCCGTTCTTCTCATTCGTAAACATGTGCACACCCTCTATATAAAGACAATTTTCAGCGCAAATCCGTTGAAAGTCACTCTAAGTGTTTTTCAGTCATTCCACAAATAGTCAATAAATCATCCTTTTTGAAAACTGTCCTATGAATTATATTTGCCAGTAGTGGTTTTTTCTTCTCTTCATTATTGTGCCCAACAACAATTTTCTTTTAATCTGATTCTGTTCATTAATAAAAGTTTGTCGCAATGAAAGAATTTTTCTGAATTTTGAACTTGCATTACGTTTTTAGCGGAAATGAGGAAACAATGAACTTCGTACCTTTTCTCAACTAATCCCTGCTTTTCGAGTATTAATGTCTGGAGTGCTGGAAATAGTTATTCACTTCAAAACTCTTTCGAAATAAACCGTTTACGAGCACGATTTTGAGCAAACCTGACTCAAATCTTTATTTCGTTGAAGGAAATGTTTCGCACCACTGCTATTGACTCAAACTTGAACGAGTTACCTAAGATACTTTATGGGCGAAGTGTGGGCAAAAACTATTTTGGTTCCACCTGTGTGCTACACGACTCCATGCTAGTCATGTGATTCAGCGAAATGTTGACCAGCTGGATGAGAACCAATTTCAAGGCTAACCTAAAGAAGTCGTATTGCCACTAGTTTTCGAGAAGCTGTGCTCGCTCGTCGGATGCACTTCGTGCTTACTATTCTAGGCATCTCTTTTCGTGTGATATCGTCCTTGTAACCAGTTCGGGCGCCTTCAAGTAGCCAAAGACAGACATAGAACCTTGGCTGGTTTCACTGCATTCTGTACCGACAAGTAGTCACGTACTCATTCTTAGTCAGTTACGTATTTTCGGTGTTAGAGTAGGCAATAAATGCATGAATGCTTTCTGAACCGAGTCATTCCGTTTCGGCAACTTGCCATAACCTAACGTACAGCAAATTATAGGTAATTAACCTTGTCTCTTTGATCTTGTAGTCTTCTTACATTCCTTCTGGACATTGCAATTTAGCTCAAGACTCGAATCTCCCAGATGCTTAGCAGTGAGAAACTTTGAGTCAAAATTCTGCACACTCTGCTTATTCTGGATCCTCAACCTTGTTGATCTTTACCAATCCATCCTTTGCACCAAATAAATATGTTGGAAACATCACCACCTAGTGCACTAATTTGCAAGAATTCGTCTTCGTCGTTTTCTATCAACTAACAACTCAAGCCTTCTTGAAAAAGTTGTGAGATGAGATCTTTCAAGATTTACTGTCAAGCTTAAATGGCAGCGTTAAAATCATCTTTGCGAGGGCAATGGGGAGAGGGGTGAAAGAAAGCTCTGAATGCTAGAAAGCTGGACTTTGTCCTATCATTTCAACCAATTCTTCTACCGTTTGCTGTAAAAAACAATTTATATGTTCGGCATTTTCGATGTTTTTCCTGTAATCACAGGTAACTCGCCTCCTTAAAAAGTCTTTTGTCTTTTTTACTGATAGTGAACAAATACGTGCTCAAATCCTGTTCTAACCACTTGAAACATGTTGGAACATCAGAATTTGCACACTGTGCGACAATTCACTTTTGTTCAGTATAGTCGCAGTAGAGAATAGTAGAATATTGGAAGCGAGTATGCAACGAAATGTCTGGATCTCTAAAAGCACCGAAATTTGCATGAAACTTCCTTTTAAGGCTTTTCTTTGGACAACCCATTTATGCGGCTTTACATTTTCAACGAACAGACTTTACAGATGTATCAAATATTCACGACAAGCAAGCCAGTGCATTTGAGCAATTGTTGGAAAGACTCCATTCTTAGAATCAAGGGAAATATAATAGTATAGCCACACCTTAGAAATAGTTTTTGATATGCTATCCAAAATCTTTTACGGGCCTACATATATCCTTAGACTTCTAAAAAGAGGGAATGGCGGCAGTCGCGTACCCAAGAAATTTTATACAAGTTGATTTTTGAAAATTCCTAACAAACAGCATTTTGATTTTGCAAATAAAAACAAGTTTTATACATGCAATGACCATCGGTCCGCCACTGAGGCGAACTTGTCCCCACTGCTAACGAATTCAGATCAACCATACTGAAAAGATCCTAAGACCGATACTGAACTATAATTTTCTTGTCTTCTCGCAAGCAGATGATATTACCGGCACTTTCTAAAAAATTCGAGATTAAAATCAGCTCTCCCTCTTTTTGTGATTTGCGTCATATAAAATGGGCTGTTGTAAGAGTAACAGCACATTATGTTGTCTCTTCCCTCCTTCTCTTCTCTCTTAAACTTCAAAATTTAGATTCTATTCAAAAATCTTTCATTTCATTGCAATAATTCATCAAACAGAGATGCTCATCTTGTGTAGCGGAAAAACAGCCATACTTGCACTTTCAGATTTCCCGTCGCGATGTTCTGCTACCAGCTCTTACTGTTTTTTCTATTTTACGAGCTCTTACCACCAACTCATTGCGAAGGGAATTACTTTTGGAATCGATACACAAAAGACCTTGGCAGAACTGTTCCAAAACATACGATGATTGAAAAAGATGAAACCCCACAATATATCGACGAAGTCGTCGAAGTGCCTACAGATGAGCGTGTGTTGCGGATGTTTGAAAATCTTCGGTTGGCGGAGTAAGTTCACGATTTTCTACATATAGTAACCGTAATCAGCCAAGCCTGTTTCAGAGAGATAACGCGCAGTAAGCCAGGCCACTTCCAGGCGAGAAAGATTTTCACGCAAGGACTCGCTTGATTTCTGGTGGACTGATCATACTGGTGTATATAATTGTTGTACATTTTGCTTCTAAATTGGCATTATTTTTTATGTCTTGTTTGTGAATAAAGCAGGTAAACATTTTGTCACTCGAATCTTTCTCACATGCCCAAGGATCAGCGTAGTTCGATATTTCATAAACAGTGCTGACTAGCTAGCCGTTAATATCAGTAACTAGCTGGCATACCGGCTCCGCCCGGTTTTGTTAAAACACTATGGCCCGTAGTAAACCTCCATTCATCTGACTTGAGATTAGTCACTCAGAAAAACTTCCTCGGGTGAACCTGATCCCGCCTACCTTTCCCTGCTTTAGGATAGTCAGTTCAACAGTCAGAAGACTGTCTGGTCAAGTGTCACAGTCAGTTCACCAGAATGCTACTTATACGAGGTTGAATTTTAGGATGACCCGAAAATGATAGCGTGCATAAGAGGAGGATCAGACAAATTTCCCGTAAGTTGCTCGTGAGCAATTTACAGGAAAATTCAGTCGACGTATTCTTGCGGTGCAAAACTCGAAAACTGCACGACTTTGGGGGTAGAGGAACGAACACCTCAATTAGGCACCGCTTCCATGGACTACTGGTCCCAACACGATGCACAACAGTAGGACGAAAGGACCAGCAGCCCGCGGAGGCGGTACCTAATTAAGGTGTTCGTTCCTCTACCCGACTTCGGCGGCCTAAATGGGAGGGGGTCAATGAACAGCTGATTGCGGCGAGAAAAGCAAGAAAACAGGATTCCTTGGATTTCTTCTTTTTTCAGAGCTTGCTACGTTTTTCCTTCAAAAACTGATGAAACAAGGATTTTTCGATTTTTTCATTTGCTCTATGTTCCATAATTTTCGTTTTTCATGATATTCTCGCCAAAATATGGTAAATTTGTTTTATCCCTTTATTTGCTTGACGATAGCTTTGATAGCGGTCGCCATCGATTTTTCTCGATAGCGGCCGCTATCAAAGATTGTCCGTGGTGGCGCAAAAGTCTAGCACTAGCCGGCTCCGAACCATTGTCTTGCTCGTTGAAACCTATTCACTTAGCCGCTCGACCAAACCTGCCCAAAGTGTTGAGTTTTTGGGAGCCCACAAGACCTCCATGTCTAGAAAGCGATCAGCAACCAAATTAATAGCTCACCGGATGCCGGGCTGATTCGTTCTACGTTCAACGTAGGCCCGCCCCGAGCCGAGTTGGGCTGAATAGGGGTTTACTAAGGGCCTATGATTGAGGTCACTGTCCCTATTCCTGTACAACCTTTTTTTTGTACCCACTGTCTATGCCAGTGTTCGCTATCCTTGTCTTGTTTTCGTACTCAGCATGCCCACTTACCCTTCCATGCTAACTCCCAGCCCCATGGCTCGAATTTTTTAAAAAATCAATGAAATCGATAAAATTCGTAGATAATTTTGGCAACTAGTGCTGTATTCGTAATCAGCATGCCCACTTACCCCCCCCCCCCCCCACCGTGCCAACTCCCAGCCCGTTAGGTCAAACTATGCAGAAAAATCGATAAAAGTAATTTACATTTTCAAAACTAATACTGCATTCGTATTCAGCGTGCTTACCTATCCTCTGTGCCAGCTGCCAGCCCCGTAGGTCAAACTTGGAAAAAATCGGTAAAGCGAAATCGATCGATAGCTAAAAGTAGCTTACGACATTCGTCTCGCCCCGACTGTATGCGTGCAAGATTTGCTCCCGAGGGACTCAGAAATAAGAATTTTTATATGGAACATACATACAGACATACAAACAGACGAACAGACATTCAGCTTTATACATAGAGTTAAAGAGCCAAATCCTTCATCTTTATTCTTTAATCACTGCATGTTTTGGTGCAACATTTCTGGAAAAAGTAAAACGAAATGTAAAGACGGTTTATATAATTTGTGTAGATGCATGTTCCATACTGACAACTTAAAAAAGAAAAAACAGGACAGAAATAGTTGGAGCCAGTCCTTCCAGAATAATGCAAAATACTAGTCTGAAAAAATGTTGACAATAACCATAAACATATTATTATGAAAATCTGGGCATAAAATTTGAAAGTAATGTATAAAGGCACTAAATACAGGGTGTCCCAAAAAATGTTAACACTGTTTGATCGTTAATAACTCCCTTGCTTTCATGTCTTTCGCCAAGCTTTAGGCGCCATTCTGTAAAGCGAGGATCAACTTAGATTTGTAGTATGGAGCGAATCACCGTTCGCGTTACTGTAGGATTATGGTAGGAACTTCGACATGGATTTTAGGCCATTGGAGGCCATATTCTGCCTCGGAACAAAACAAACAAGCCAGAAACTCTTAAACTGTGGTAATGGAAGTCGCTGATTTCGAATATGAAATTTCCACTTTACTGTGATGCTTCTCTCCTAGGTTTTCCCAGGTAAACCGTAATAATTGAATTTCTAGCACTTGTCAGAAATGTGAATACACCGTCAAAAAGCTAAAAACATTCGTAAAAAGTTGTGTAGTGGAATCAGCTCTCGCGAAAACCCTAGTATACGATTTTTCCGATTTTTTGAAAAAAATTTTGTTGAGTGGCATATCTCACAATGGATCCACATGCTAGAAGTTGGTACCGTAATCCTACAGTAACGAAGAGCGATTGGTGATTCGCTTTATACTACAAATCTAAGTTGAACCTCGCCCTACAGAATGGTGCCTCAAGCTCGGCGAAGGACATGAAAGCAACAAAGTTATTAACGATCAAACAGTGTTAACATCTTTTTGGGACACCCTGTATAGAATGAAAAAGGAGTAAAATAAGATTATTACATTTCTGAATACCTTAGGGAGTTGGAAAGTGATTAGGATCGTGAACTGACATGCATCAAATTTATATACAAAATGAATGAACTAGGCACGATCAATTAGAACTAATTATACAGTTCTTACATGGCTCTAACATTTGTCATATATTAGGTCGTTTCAGAAGTAATTTCGCTTTTTTCAAAGTGGCGCCACATTTGATGGAACAAAGGTTTCTAGGAGATCTTGGTAGCATTCGATGCAGCATTTCATCCTCTTTCTAAAGATTGTGAAATTGTTGCAAAACAGTCAATGAGCTTTCAGAAAATAACCAAAATCTGCGACCTATGCTTTTTGAAATGGTCAAGTTTCACAATTTTTCTAAACTTTTATATCAACCCTCCAAAGAAGCGAAAGTTACGTTTCTATAAGGCATACCTTACAGGATGCAAAACAATTTTTTTCTCCTTTCCACATCATGTCATTCATTTTTAACAGAATTTTAACTGATGCTACCGATTTTCATTCTTGGACAGTTAAATCTTCATGGAACATAAAACGGTGAGCAGCTCGGGTGTCATTCGATGCAGTTTCTTCTCCTCTTTCTATTGGGTGCTTTTTGTTTCCGATTCATTCAGTCTTTGGAGCAAAATCCTCATAACTCGTCTTTCCAAACGAGCCCCAGGCTGTGCCCGTAAAACTCGAAATTTGATATTTCGAATCCGTAAACTCCCACTTGCTTTGTTAAATTAGTGCTAACTCATAGTACCATCTTGGTAGTCTTAAATTCCGAATAATTATGATGTTTGATGCGATTGTAGCTAATGCAGTCTTGCCAAATTCCGATGGCTTTGTTAAAATATCTTTTAAAAGATTATCGCGAGTTTCAAAATGGAGAAAAAAGTTGCGCTGTATTTTATGAGGTTTGTTCTATCGAATCTTACTTGAACTCCTTCCGAGGACTGATATGAAAGTTTTAAAAAATTGTGAAACTTAACTACCTCAAAAAGCATAGGTTGCAGATTTTGGTTATTTTCTGAAAGCTCATTGAATGTTTTGCAGCAATTTCATAATCGTTAGAAAGAGAACGAAATGCTGTTTCGAATGCTACCAAGGTCTCCTATAAAGCTTTGTTCCATCAAATGTAGCGCCCGTTTGAAAAAAGCGAAACTACTTTTGAAATGGCCTAATACAACAAAAAATGTTACTATCATTAACAGACATAAACGTCTTTGCAAAAGTAACAAAGTACACCTAGGAAAAATCAACAATATTCTTCTCATGCATGCTGTTCTGAAGCTAAACAAAGCTCCAGTCAGATGCAGACTGGTAACCCTACGTTTAGTAGTATCAGAGCGCTAGCTGTCGCGATGAGAATAGTTTCTACATTCATTATGGCAATTCAAAAAAATACTTACAAGACAAAATACGGAAATCATTTTTATGGTTACTGGGCTAAAGATACATAAACTGAGCGAGAACCTAGCAAACATAAATATGAAACATAAAGATTAGATCATAGATAAACAAAAACCAAACTTTCCATTTCTTTCTCTTGTTTTTTCCTCTCTTTTTCTTTTGTTCAAATTAATACGCTTATTCTCTGTTGCAGGATATAATGAACCGCTATCACGAATACGTCGTGATTTTCTGCAAGCATTTCTGTTACTATCGAAATGTTCGCAGCTACAATCATGGTATGTTGTAGTGAAGCTCACCAAGTGCCCTTGAATAGCAGCGATTTCGGTGTCGTCAGATCGCAAAAGTATGAAATAAAATGGAAAAAGGCGCTTTAGCACATGTTAGGTGTGTCTGAGTGAACGCTGAACAGATGGAAGAACGCCTCTGACGAGAAGAAGCGTCTAACTTAGTTTGGCCTCTTGCAAAACCACCTATGTACTCAGAATGAAATAAAAATTAAGTGCAAATTTGTAGCCCGTAGCTGCAAAGCACCTCTAGACAGAGCAAACTGTTTTTCCGTGCCAAATCGCAAGCTTAAGGACTTTTTGATAATTACAGTACCAATATTCTCTTGGCAATGCAATTGAATAATGCTCTCTATTAGCACCAAAAGACTTATTAAACTGATGCTTCCATAACCTATAGGTAATACGTCAATAGAGCGTTATAAAAAGCTCATTTTCAGATAGCATCGTTTCAGCGTCTTAAGCCGATTCCAAACATGCATGCTCCTTTTCAAAAGACCAAACTGTCTGTGTTACGTCTCTTTTCTTGTAAGGAGCACCCATCTGGGTAGGTTAAGCATCATAGTAAACAATGTAGCTCTGAAATTAACAGGGAAAATAGGAGCAGCGCAGGATCCTATGTACCTAAAAGGATTTTGTTTGGTAT